TATATATATATGTATAAAAGGACGGAGAAATTTCAGAACCCTATATACTGTAAATCAAATCACAATTAATAATGGTAAAAAAAGAAAATTAAATAAATTTTTCTAATTTGTGGTTCATGGTAAATCCGTAGCATAAGTGGTAAAGTGTTAAATAAACTTCTATTCATCTCACAAAATCTAATTAAAGCAGCAAAGAAGGAAAAAGTGTTGTTTCTGTAGATATAGAAAAAAAATTCAACATTTTACCTTGAAAATATTTCTGTGACGAGTAAACAAGTGTAGGAAGATAAAACATTAATTTTATATCTCAAAATCTAATAAAAGCATCAAACAAGGAAAAAGTGTTATTTGTTTAGATATGGACAAAACTTCAAGATATTATTTTGCAATTATTTTTGTGACGAGTAAACAAATTGAAGTAGGTAAACTCTTCTTTTAGAAACGTGATAAATTTTCAAATGATCCGTTAAGTTTAGGAGTATGTATGTCTTTTCGTATCCTTAAATATTGTGGTTAGCTTTCTTATGTAATCTTGTGTGTTACATGTCACTAAGTCTGTTAACTTAAATTTATAAGTACATTGAGGTTCGCCTAGGTTAGACCAAAATATTCCCACTTAATAAATATTAATTATATCTTTTACTGTTATATAAGAGAATAAAAAATAGATCAACCTCCGCACTAAAAAGACGTAATTAACCAATTCCTTAAGTATTAGTCAGTTATATTTGAGTTCCTGAAGGATTTGAGCATCTAAGACCATATACACACAGAGGTAGATTCAGAATTTTGAGAAGATGGGCGCGTTACAGAGATGAGGTGCATTCAAGATATATATTTAACTAGTTTAATCTTTACCCCCTATTTGGATGGTGTCACGACCCAAATTCCCCCAAATAAGACTAAATCGCGAAACTTAACTAAGTATGGAAATAAATAAAGAAAACGATATAAGTCTCATAATAACTCTAATAAGGAAGTAATAGTTTAAGTCAATACAATTAATACCCCAAAACCTGAAATTAAAGTCACAGTACATGAGTATGTACGGCGAGTACAAGTTTGAATACTAATACGTAAACTGTCTGAAATGAAAATAAGACAGAAATAGTAACGATAGAATGAAGTCAGATGTTGTGGGAAACTCATCAGCATACCCTGGAACTCCACGAAACACCCCAAATCAACTCGAAGAAAGATGCCCAGCTCGTACCCGGATCAGTACCTGCACACAAAACGTGCATCAAGTATAGAGTGAGTACAGGAAGCATGTGTCCCCTACAACATCATTGATCGGTCCTAAACTATAGTAATGATGAGGGTTGGTACTTCTTATACCTCTCTTCCTTCTTTGTTTGTTCAAATCCACACAATGTTTAGGTATTCCAACAAATAAAGAAGGTATGAACGGTAAAACCGCTCTTACAATCCACTCCTATCCCAACACACTTATAAGGATTCAGTCTACTTAGTTAAGCCCATTCCAAGAGTAAAGATTCTATCTTTACCTCATTTATGTCAGGTATAAGCGTGAAGAATCCATCTTTAAGTCCTTTGACACACATATACCATGAAATCAATTTCAACTCAGCACAAATTATATGAGACGCAAACAATGCATGTGATGTAAGTGAATAGTATGCAATCCAAACTCCATATACACTGGTATACACACGCTCCTACAGTAGGTTTCACATGACCTATAGGGGACTCATGAGGTCTATATACCCATGCGAAATACCAAATCTCCTAGATCACATCGGATCTCAACCGTTGGCTGAATATCATTATCACTCCGTAGCCATGTACCATATCCAAAATCCGTCTTGCCATTTACCAGTCATATACTAGCAGTATCAAGAAAGAATAATTGGATATGTGTACATCATGCAAGTGCAAAATAGCAAGTCAATATCAAAATTTAAGTGTCTTTTTCCATAAATCAGACGAGATGTTGAGTGATGAATGCAACTCAGTTAACAAATATGTGTACTCATTCAATCATGGCACTCATTGCCAAAATAAGCTGCAAGCATACCAACCTAAATGGATATATGCACTATTCTCATGGTTCGAAGGCTAAACACATAATATCCGTCATAATTATTCTAGTTTCACATTTGAATTCCCCAAAACAAATACACGGTTACACGCATAAGTGCTCGTTACCTCACGAGTATGAGACCCCATATTTACCATTTTACCCCTTAATATATTTACCAACACATAACACTACATAAAGGGTCTAGTAAATCTCAACATGCCTGAATTTGAAGTCGAAGTTTCACTCCACGGCCTTGCCTTTCCTCTGAGCCTCCAAACGAGTCCACTATGTTCAAATATACGTTCTAGATCAGAATACAAAGCTATGGATACCTATGTTTCTATATAAAAGAATTCGGATCCAAAAAACAACCTAAAACTCCGTCCCAAACCCCAAGGGTAAACACAGTAATTTAACACAAATCTGGGTTCAATATGGTCAAATTAGTAATCTATACGATTGTATGAACCCAACAATACCCATGTTCTAAGTATTAGTTCGTACCCAATCATAGACCCAAAAAGGTAACCCCCACCCCACAAGGTTTGGAATTTAAGCCTAGAATCATCTTACCTAAAACTTAGATAGTCTAAATCCCAAAAATCATCGAGTTCCAATCCCATTTAACCCTCAATTTTATAAATTCTTTAAACCCATTTCTATAGAAAACTCCCCAATTTCTACTCTAGAAATTATGAATTCAAATTTAATCTAAAAGAAGAAATTAATGAAAAATGATTAGAGGAAGATTAAGATCTTACCACAGTGAAGAAACTTGATCTTGGAACTTTGATTCTTTGGAGCTCTCTAGCTTCTAAAATGGTGAATGGGAAATAAAACTCAAGTTTGGGGTTTTAATTCACTGTTCAGGTAATTACCCTTCTCGAAGGCGAGATAGCTTCGTGAATGCAATGACCATGCCAAAACGGTCCAGACACTGCCTACCCTACGCAAACGTGATGACCCATCTGATCCCACTTCATAGCAAAGCGAGGCCCTCTCGCGAAGAAGGAAAAACCAGATGACTAAAACACGAAAAATCTTGTTTTCCAAAATTCCGAACCAACACCCGAATCTCATTTGGAAAACCCCGGATACAAACCAAATATGCATTTCTATCATAAAATACGCTACGAACTCGCTCGCGCAATCACATTTTCCAAAAGAGCTCGTTTTGTCCAGGGTTGATCAGGGTCAACTCAACCACTATCAAAACCCAACTTTCCAACCAAGTATCTAAAACACACCCGAACTCCTCGGGACCCAAACCAAAGGCTCGACTAAGTCAAAAATAACATTTGGACCTAAAGGAGTTGATGAAACCATGAAAATTATACATTTAACCCAGTGTTGACTTTGGTCAAAATTCTTTATTTAATTAACTTTTAAACTTATGAACTTACTAAAATCAATTCGAAACTCGCTCGATTACCTCAGGAACCACATCACTCATCCCCGCCAGTCATATGCATACTAAAGCAACCTCGGGAAGGGTATTTTGGAAATTTCTAGGTTAAAATCTCGAAACAACTTAGCGAGACGTTACATCAAATACCACTAAAAATAGCGTTCGTCCTCGAACGCTAAATGATAGATAGATGCCTGGATCCTCAAAAAGCTAGGGATATCTAGACAACATATTAGAATTGGCCTCTCAAGTTGACTTCTCAATGGGATGATGCCTCCATTGTATTTTCACTGAAGTTATTTACTTCGATCTCAACTTCTGAACTTGTCTTGAATGGCTATCGGCTCCTCCTCAAAAGTCAAATTCGGATCAAGTAGCATTGAATCCCATCTAATCACATAAGAACCATCCAAATGGTACTTCGTCAACATCAAAATATGGAAAATAGGGCGAACACCCGAAAGACCCGGAGGAAAGTTTATCTCATAAGCCACCTCACCAACTTGTTGAACTATCTCAAATAGACCAATAAACCGCAGACTCACCTTTTCTTTCTTCCCAAATCTCATCACACCCTTCATGGGTGAGACCTTCAACAGAACTCGCTTCCTGACTATGAACTCCAAATCACGAACCTTCCGGTCCGTATAACTCTTCTGTGTACTCTGAGCCGTGCGAAGTCTTTCTTTGATCAACTATACCTTATCTAATGAATCCCTCAACAAATAAGTACCCCCAGGTCTAACCTCCAAAGAATCAAACCTACCAATCGAGGAATGATATATCCTACCATACAATGCCTTAAATGGGGCCATCTCAATGCTCAAATGGTAGCTATTATTATAAGAAAACTCTGTCAAAGGTAGAAACTGATCCCATTGACCTCCAAAGTGAATCACACAAGCTCACAACATGTCCTCGAGGACCTGAATAGTCCGCTTGAATTGTCTGACAGTCTACATGTGAAAGGTTATGCTAAGCTCCACTCTGGTACCCAACTTTTTCTGCATTGACCTCCAGAAATGCGATGTAAACTGAGTCCTTCGGCCGGAAATGATAGAAATAGGAATTCCCATACAAACGGACTATCTCACAAATGTAGATCTTGGCCAACTTCTCTGAATTATGAGTAGTCAAAACTGGAATGAAATGAGAAACTTGTTCAATCTATCCACAATGTCCCAAATAACATCGCACTTGCCCAAGGTGCTTGGAAATCATACCACAGAATCCATAGCAATTCGCTCCTACTTCTACTTGGGAATGGGCATCCTTTGAATAACACCACCAGGATTCTAGTGCCCGTACTTTTACTTGCTGGAAATTCAAACACCAAAACACAAACTCAACTATCTTCATGCGGCACCACTAATAATATTGCTTTAGATCACGATACATCTTTGTTGCCCCTGGGTGAATAGAATACATAAAAACTGAGCCTCCTCTATAATCAACTTTGTCAAATATCCCACTCTCGGTACACAAATCTGACCCCTGATCCTCAAAACTCCACCCCATCAAGAATAGCCTCCTTAGCCTCACCCTGCAACACTTTGTCCCGAATTTTGCATAACTTCACATCCTCAAACTGTTGAGCTCGAATCTTCTCTATTAAGTAAGATCGCCTCCACACATGCTAGAACCTTACCGGCTCCGAAATATCAAGCTTCACAAAATGATTAGCCAAATACCGGACATCCATAGAAAAAAGACGTTCTCCCATATGCAATAATGCCAAGATACCCATGCTCACCCCTTTCCTACTCAAGTCATCTGCCACTATATTGAGCTTGCCCAGATGATAAATAATGGTCATGTTATAATTCTTGAGTAACCCCAACCACCTACGTTGTCTGAAATTGAGGTCATTCTAATTGAAAATATACCAAAGGCTAAGATGATTCGTGAATAGCTCACAAAGAACTCCATAGAGGTAATGCCTCCAAATATTCAAAGTGAACATTACCGTTGCCAATTCCAAGTCATGAGTGGGGTATTTCTTCTCATGCGCCTTCAACAACCTTGAAGCATAAGCTATCACTTTCCCTTTCTGCGTGAATACACAATCAAGACCCACTTTTAAAGCATCACAATAGACCGTAAATCTCCCTCGATAGGTAAAGTTAGAATCCCAATAGTAGTCAACAAATTATTGAGCTTTTGAAAGCTTACCTCACACTCATCGGACCACTAAAAAACTACCTCTTTCTGAGTCAATTTGATCAACGAGGATATGGATGAAAATCCTTCCACAAAATGACAATAGTAATCTTTGAGGCCCACAAAGCTCTAAACCTCGGTGACCGAAGCCGGTCTGATCCAATATCGAACCACCTCAATCTTCTTGGGATCTACCATAATACCATCCTTAGTCACCACATGCTCCAGGAGAGCTACCAAACTAAGTTAGAATTTACACTTTGAGAACTTAGCATAAGGTTCCTTCTTCTTCAAAATCCCAACCACAATCCTCAAATGTTGCTCGTGCTACTCCTTGCTCCGCGAGTATATCAAGATATCGTCAATGAAAACAATCACAAAAGAATCCAAATAAGGCCTGAATACTCCATGCATCAACTCCATAAATGTTGAGGGAGCATTCATCAACCTAAATGATATCGCTAAGAAATCATAATGCCCATAACGCATTCGGAATGCTGTCTTAGTGTCATTCTCAGCCCTTATCCTCAACTGGTGATAGCCAAATCTCAAATCATTCTTGGAAAATAAATAAGCACTTAGAAATTGGTCAAACAAATCATCAATGCGCGGAATAGGATATTTGTTCTTGGTAGTTACGTTGTTCAACTGCCTATAATCAATACACATCCACATATATAAACTATTCTTCTTCACAAATAACACAGGAGCACCCCACGGTAATATACTAGGCCGAATAAACCCTTTGATCAGCAAATCCTACACTGTTCCTTCAACTCGGATGGTGTCATTCGATATGGCAAAATAGAAATGGGCTAAGTGCACTACTCCAAATCAATATGGAAATCAATATCACGCCCGGGATGAACACTTGGAAGGTCTGTAGTGAACACCTCTAGGAACTTTTGTACTACTGAGACTGACTCTAACGAAGGAGTCTCCACGGTATTATCTCAAATATAAGCCAAATAAGAGAGACAACACTTCTCCACCATCCTTTGAGCCTTAAGCAATGAAATAACTTTCTTTGGATAGTAACTAAGAGTACCCTTCCACTCTAAACGAGGTATACCCGAAGTGGCTAAAGTAACTGTCCTGGCATGATAATCCAAGATTATGTGATATGAAGATAACCAATCCATCCCAAAGAATAACGTCAAAATCAACCATATATAAGACTTTTAAGTCTACATGGGTATCGTACTCTATCAAAGTAACTATGCAGCATCTATACACCCGGACTACAACTACCGAATCCCCAATAAGAGTAGAAATATGAATGGGCATATCTAGGGAGTCACACATCAAATCCAAATTCAAGGAAAAATAGGCGGACTCATATGAATAGGTATAGCCTGGATCAAATAACATCGTGGCTGAACAATGGTAAACTAAAAGTATACCTGTGATGACTGCATCGGAGGTCTGCACGGAAAACCATAGCAATAAGCATGATCACCCCAAGTCTTACCCCCCCCCCCCCCCCTCCCGTGACCACTACCTCGGCCTGGATATGTAGCTCCCCTAGCTTCTTGAGCACCACCCCTGCTGCCGTGAGCTCCATCTCTAATCGTCTATGCAGCTATCCTAGGCATGACAGTCTGGGAACTTTGATTCTAACCCCTACCTACGTATGATAAAATCCCCCTAAAAATTCCCGAGGTCCCCACACTCAAACAAACCCCTGGGAACTGTAGCTTGCTGAAAAGAAGAACCGACATCTGAATGCCCCCCACGACCAAGTGGACTATAGGAACTCTGAGATAACCTCCAAGTGCCATAAGAAGTACGCCATGCCTGGTCCCTATCAAAAATTGGCATAGCTGTTTTACTGGCCTAGGAATCAGATGGTGATGACCTCTACCAAAATGTCATCGACCTCCAGATGAGGTACCCATATGTGTGCCAAAGGGGGGCCTCTTGACCATCAACTCCTCATAATCCTCATGTCTAATCAACTCAACCTCTCAAACTACATTCACAATCTGCTAAAAGGAAGACCCTGTGACAGCCATCTGTGCCACAATCAAACAAAGGGGACGAATCAATCCTTTGGTGAACCTCCTCACCCTCATCAGGAAGAATCATCAAAGCATGGCGAGATAAGGCATGGTACTGGGTACAGATATACCCCTCTGGCGTAACTCCTTGAGCTGAGCCCTCCTCCTCTCTCTTATACTACGAGGCACAAACTTCTCCAAGAAAGTGTCACGACCCTAATTTTCCACCTTGGGGTATTGTGATGGCACCTAGTCTTCAAGAGTAGGTAAGTCATACATTTCCCAAAATCGGCATTACGGAGTCATAAACACTACTAAAACATACTAGAATTTTGAAACACAATATTGTTTTGAATTGCAATTTAATAGTAGCATAATGAAGTAAGATGGTGACTCCGAGGCCTGTGAACATCAAGCAGATATAGCTTGAAGTCCCCCGCCGCACAGATGCATCTCTCAACAACACAATCAGAATACCTAGATCTGCATAAAAATGTGGCTCTGATACCACAGTATAAAGAACAGAGCAAGAAACTCCAAGAAAGCAAACTTTATCATAGATACGAAAATATTCCTACAAAAAGGGCTAGCTATTGCCAAGCTACGCTAATAGTTAATTTTCTTATAGTCACAAAAGTTTTCCTACAAAAGGACTGGCTTCACAACCCATAAGGGACGGCTTGCCAAGCTACACAACTCAAAAAACTTTT